AGCAATCGCCTCTGTATTCAGCACTCAAGCAATGAATCGTATGTTACTTCTTAGGCCCCAATTCTGCAAGCTTGATAGTTTATAGGAACATACACTGGAAATGAAATTTTTGAATTTTTGATGGCTAGGTCAACCTGCTAATAAATAAGCTGCGAACTATTGAGAGGCTTGAAGACCTTAGAACTGTATTTAGTTTAACCCTATGCTTCTAGTTCTTTTGGCCGCAGTTGCTAATTGGTCCCTGCGAAATGTCGCAACCCCACACGGCCCTCCTTACCTAGCGTTAAAGACTATGCACTGGTCACTTTCACACCCAATAATACTCCCATTGTGACATGATCACTGGTTCGGAGCCATGGACAGCCTCGTGAGTCGCACGCATGACAGCAAAGAAGATTAATAACGTAAACGCACACTATTCACTCAGCTCTCCGCAAGTGCCTACCGGTAGTATACGGTAGACAGACTAGGAGGACTAAATAATAATTCCATGGTACTCCATTCCAGTCTAATTCGGGTCGGTACCTAGCCTTCTCACTGTCTATTACCGTACATACTTATTCCATCTTATCCTATTACATCTACTGCTCTCCAGCTGCTATTGCAGCATCATGTGGAATGAATGAGACCATGCTCAGTAGGTGTTTATATAGCCGTTGGGGTGTTATCACATTGATAGCACTGCAAAACATTGATTGCTAAAGTCATAGTTACTCGATTTTGTTAACGGTCTGTTTACTTCACGAGTTTCCCTACCACTTCATTTTGCGGACGGACACACACATACATACATACACACATACAGACATACAAACCGACACACAAAGTTAGCGCTTTATAAAATAGAAGGATAGGGATTACACACTCACATGTGAACTTACATGTGTTAACGTGTTCGCGTGGCTTAACTCCAACTTAGTCGAGCGGGCAGGGAAAAAAGAAGAGCACGCGATGGAGGAAGCACAGAGGCCACTTTAAAGGAAGCGGTCGCGCTACTTGTTGGACGAGTGTAAGCCTATGGAAGATAGATAACGATGCGGCTGCTTGATAAGAGGTGCACTCCAGAATGAAAACGGGACGATAACGATAACGGTATCATATCTAGCACGCTCTTATCGCACCCCTTTCCACATCGATAAGTCTTGGTTTTTGCTGAACGGAAGGATTTCGGCGCCTTATCACTCCGTTGATAAGGCGCCACTGCCACTGAAACTTCACGTGTTGTAACACTGGGCAGGACCTCTATCCACCAATACATAGCTTCCCTTATCGTTCCCATCCGCTATATAACACTTGCGCTGGGGTGCCTCTGTAATGTGATGTAGTGATTGTGATGGGGCATTCCAACTGTTGTATAAACATCCACTGAGCATACTTTCGTCCACCTCTCAACTTAAACGGGACACTTCAGTAGCAATTGGAGGAAAGGCCTCCGGGAACAACACTTGCTCTATAATACGATATCAAAGTTTCGGAAGAAAAAACCATGTATTAACACACTTGCTGTAGTTTGCTGATCGTGCTTTGACTCTTTGGATGTTTC